ATATAAAAATATAATTTTATAATATGTTTTAAGAACTTGTCAGGTCACTCTCGTATATCTTCCTTGTAAACAAACTGTAGCTCCCGTAGTCAAAACGGTAAAATCGGTAAATTCAACCAGGGCTTTGAACTCTCTCAAGGGCCAAACGTTGGGGGCGTAGATTAGGCACTACCGCATCAAAGTGAGCTTTGAAGCTGGAGTTACTTAATTGAAAGTCTAGGCCTGCCTCAAAACTGGAATTTGGCCAGACTTTAAATAATTTTATTGTCAAATAAACTTCTTTATTAACATTCACACATTTTATGTACTTTGCTAAGATTTAATTTTTTTTTTGCTCCCCCATTGATTAAAAGGTGTTATAAGAATACCTTAGTAAAGTAGGAGCTACTACACTGGGCCTAACTCTCCATATATATGTAATATGCATATGTATATGTATATACGTCATAATATATACACACACGCACAGTCAAGCTGTGATACGATGCATGTTCACATGCAAGGTCGTCGTAAAATGCATTCTTGAATAAATTATATCTTTTTTGTCCCATTGGTATACAGTTTTCATGGCATTTAATAGCGCTTTGTCCCAGAACAGCATAGTTTTTACTGTGAAATGCATTTTTAATTGCGATTTTAGTTGAAGTGCAGAAAAGTGAAATTTGCTCACTGAATAATATGAATTACTTAGGTCTAAATCGGTTGGCCTTCAACTATAAGAAATATAAATATATATAATCCTAACATATGCTCTCTAGAATTTGCTGGAACAGATAGTAATACATGCCTAGCCACGCTACGCCTTCTAATTACTTTCGATAAAAACAAAACAGAATTTTAATAAAAATAAATAGAAATATAATAATTAATTTTCACCTGGTTATAAGCTCATTATCAGGAATACCAAGCGATAAACGCACGATATTTATCAAAGCACGCGCTCAAAAAAACCAAAAATAATAATAATTATAAGTGAGGAAAAGCAAACATTAAAATATGCGGAAGAAAGAGCTAAAAATGTGAGATTCGAGGAGAGGCAAGTGTTGCGATCAGCTGAAAATGGGTCAAAGCTAAAAAAGAAATGCTACATCCACAAACTCTCTCTCTCTATATATATAGACATACATATAGATATGATAAACACATACACATTCACACACGCATATGCCAACACTTACTATAATATATAGTATTGCATATGCAATGCACAATATGTAAACAATTGTTGTTGTAATTTTGAATGAATGAATGAAAATTGTTGTTTGTTTAGAACTTATTGATTGGGAAAGATTACAGACAAGAGAATCTGCTTTGCGGCTAAGCCTGATTACATTATATACCTATTGAAAATTGGGATTCCGGTTATAATGTTGTAGGTAATTTGTGTATAAAGGGCGAAAGAAGGCGTGGTTGTTACCATAAAATATATATGTATATTGCTGATGAACTGCAACAGCTGAGCTGATAGCAAATCGTCTTCCTCCTGCCCTAAATTCCAATAAAACTTATTTTCCGAGTTTTTTCTAGTTAGCGCCAATCTCTTGAAACTCTTGCCAGACTTATTTTTAGGCTACATTTACTTTGTTTTTAAATTAAAAATTATTCTAAAAAAATTTAAAATTCCTGTTGGAGTATTCAGACTTATAAATTATAAATAAAAACTCTCGATTATTGAGCCAAATACCGAAAAATTTCTATTTGCGTAGCTTTTATAAAATATTTATTAATGCTCAGAATATATCGAAGAATTTGATCGATTTTGAGTGAGCAAATGGAAAACCTGGAGATGTTAATAAAGTCTGCGAATCGTTCAGTCTTGCTTATGTAGATTTTGTTGGCCAGTGTAATATTCGTTGGCCTAGGAGAATGATGATAATTAATTTAGATGCTGTCAATCTGCCGAGTCAGTCTAACTGACGTCGATTTATCTCTGGTAGCCGTTGCCTTTAAAGCGATTTCATAATTTATAATGATATATAATAGAGCATATAATCATGCAATGTGATTTCTAATGCATCCAATAATATAAATTCTTTGATATTTCTATTCCTAATAGATAATGATGTGGAGAGTGCACTGGCCGAGTCCCAGGCGATTGTGATGAGCGCATCGCAAACGCAGCAGCGGCAACAGCAGCTGATCAGCCAGCACATGATCGAGTCCCAGATATCGGTGAGCAGTGGGGCATCCATACAGACGGCGATATTCCAGTCGCTCAGCAACTCGCCGGCGCACACGAATCGCAGCTCAGGACTGCTGCAGCACACCACGTCGACGATCAGCAGCAACTCGACGAGCTCAGTCAATTCACAGGGCGTGGCCTATGCCGCTGAGGCGATCGGTGCGCATAAGCCCGCCGAGCAGATCAACTCGCTACTGGAGCACATCAGTCCGGCTCAAGCGGCGGCGGCCATGAGTGGCGAGGGTGTGCTCAACATAGCCGATGTGGCGGATCTGCTGCATCCGCAGCACGCAGTGATCACCGGCGGTCGCTCCCAGGAGGGCTGTCCGCTGATCATCTTTCCGGACAACAACAATTTCAATTCGATCGAGGAAGCCGACTATCAGAAGCTCATTTTGTACCTCAGCTCAGTGCCATCGTGAGTAGATCAGAACTCTAAAAGAACTCAAGATATTTACGTTTTACTTTTACTCTTTCAGCCTACAGGATGCTGATCTGGGCTTCCATTTGATTATTGATCGACGCAAGGATCGCTGGACCTCAGTCAAGACAGCCTTGCAGCGCATATCGGTAAGAGAACTATAGTTCATTATTATGGCTTAATTATTAATGAATGCATAAATTTTCAGATCTATTTTCCCGGTATTATACATGTGGTCTATGTGCTGCGTCCGTCGGGACTCTTTCAGAAGGCCATCTCGGAGGTGAGCTCCAAATTTTCATCCAAAGACGAATATCGCTTTCGGCTAATTGTGTGCTCGACCCTGAGCGATCTGCATGAGTTTGTGGACCCAAGTCAATTGACACCCGATATGGGTGGCACTCTAATATATTCACATCACGAGTGGATACAGCAGAGGATTGTGAGTATTCAGGAAGTGAACTAAGCCCTATCATATTATTTATTAAACATTTTCTCTTGTGTATTCCAGTCACTGGAAAAGTTCTCAAGCCTGACGCATCAAGTCTCCGCCGAATTGGATGTCTTTATACAAGCCATACATGACACAGAGTTTCCCAACTCCGTGGAGGCAACCAAAAAGCTATTGGAGGATCAGGGCATCGACTATGCGCGTCTAAAGGTTGCCTTACCACCAATTTCCTTCTGTACTCAGCAGAACTAATATGAAATTCTCTTTCAGGATGAAATCCTGGCTGCTGCCAAGCATGGCGAAACGCTGCTGGATAAAATCAAATCGAACGAGGAGCTCAAGGAGTTCTCGGAGCGCACTGGCAATGTCAGCGCCATTGAGAGGTATTTATAGAGTTTGTAGAGTTGGTGTTCTTGAATTGCGCTGCTACATAGAGTAAACTCTGGAGTAATATTGCTCGAACTTCTTATTTAACTCTGTCCCTAATTCTCAATTTCGCGTTTCTCTATATATTTAACTTTAACTTTGACTTAACTAAAGTTGTAACGTCTTCAAGTTTTTACTAACTTTGATATCTATTCTATTTGGTTTTTATAGCTCTGCACTGGTTTTTGTATTAACATTTATTTTAAGAACAATATTTTTGAAGACAGTTTATACATTGATTTCATTTCTCTCTTGTGGACATATATATAAATATGTATGTATATAT